CAATTGATTATTTTTTTGAACTCCAAGAAATAACAGAATCACCTAAGAAAAATATAAAACCAGTTGTACTTTCTCTATCATCAATATCTCGCGCATAATTACTATCACAAAATCCCATAAGGTTGAAATCACTAGAAGAAGAATAAAATAGCCCAAAGTCAATCGTACCTTTTAGGTAGCGAAGAATTCTTCTAGCGACTTTCAAGTGAGTGGAGGTAGGAGCTTCCATGAAGCGACTTACTATTCCAACTGCAAAGAGTATATCTGGCCTGGTACAAGTCAAGTACCTCAAACTTCCCACAAGACTTTTGAAAAATGTGGGATCCACTTTTTCTCCTTCATCAAACTTAGACAATTTTATTCCACTCTCCATCGGTGTGTTCACGGGGTTGCAATCGAGCATGTTGAACTTCTTCAATATCTCTTTTGTATAGCTTTCTTGAGAGATAAAAATTTCATCCTCCATCTGCTTCACTTCTAGGCCTAGGTAATATGGCATGAGCCCTACGTCTGTCATCTCGAACTCACGGGACATATCTTTCTTAAAAGCTTCAAACAAACTTAGGTTATTACTCTTGAAAATAGGATCATCAATATAAAGACAAACAAGTAAGAATCTCCATTAGTATGAACTTTAAGTTAAATAGCATATTCATGGAGACAACGAGTAAATCCGTTGTCTTGAAAATACTTGTCGATGCAACTATTCCATGCACGTGGGGCTTGCTCCAACCCATATAAAGCTTTGTTCAACTTCAACACTTTATCTTCATGGTTTTTGACCACGAAGCTCAATGGTTGTTCAACATAGACTTCTTCTTCAAGATAGCCATTCAAGAAGGCTAACTTGACATCTAGTTGATGGATCTTCCACTTCATTTGCGCCGCCAAAGGGATCAGCAAACGAATCGTCTCCATACGGGCAACAGGTGCATAGACTTCTTCATATTCAATGCCTTGTCTTTGCTTGTAGCCTTTAGCCACAAGTCATGCCTTGTATCTCTCCACATCTCCATCAGCATTCTTCTTTATCTTGTATACCCATTTCACTCCAATTGCTCGATGACCCTTGGGAAGAGCTGTTAACTCCCAAGTGTTGCTCTTCTCTATTGACTCAATCTCCTCCTCCATGGGTTGTCTCCACCTTTTGTTTGTAGCAGCTTCATCAAAGTTCATTGGTTCACTGTCAGCAAAGAGACAACATAAAAAATCAAAATTAGTAACTTCTTCTGTGTCCTCATAGAGCTCTTGAATACTCTGTGTCCTTTGTGGCTGTTCATTTGAACTTTCTTGAGAATAGGGAGATGCAACATTGGTTGGATAAGGAGGTGGACTTGTATCCAGCACAGGTTCCACGGTCTCTGGTTCTTCTTCATCACAAAAGTATGGAAGAAAATCATAGGAAGTTTCTTCCTGAGCTTCCCAATTCCATGCCAATTCTTCATCAAATTCAACATCACGACTCACCACTACCTTACCGCTGCTTGGGTTGTATAACTTGTAGCCTTTTGAACTCGTATCATAGCCAACAAACACATGCTTGACACTTCGATCGTCAAGCTTCGCTCTCCCTTAATGTGGCACATGAGCATAGGCCATGCTCCCAAATATTCTCAAGTGCTTGACACTTGGCTTTCTTCCACTCCATGCTTCTTGAGGGGTTTGATCTCTAACATTCCTTGTTGGAGACCTGTTGTTCAAATAAACTGTACAAGAAACAGCTTCGGCCCAAAATTTCTTGGGCATACTTTTAGCTTTCAACATACATCTAGCCATATTAAGAATCGTTCGATTCTTTCTCTCTGCAACTCCATTTTGTTGGGGTGAATAAGGTACCGTTAGAGGGCGATGAATTCCATGAGACTAATAGAAGTCATTAAATTCTTTTGAAGTGAATTCGCCTCCTCTATCATACCTTAAAGCTTTAATTTCATAGCCACTTTCTTTCTCCGCAAGTACTTTGAAATTTTTAAAAGCAACAAAAGCTTCAGATTTTTGGTTCAAGAAATAAACCCAATTTTTTGTACTAAAGTCATCAATGAAGAGAAGAAAGTATTTACTTTTACCAAAGAAAGATGGATTGATTGGTCCACACATATCAATATGAACAAGCTGGAGCGGTTTGGTTGATCTTGACATGGACTCCTTTGGAAAACTCCTCCTTGTATGTTTTCCAAGAAGACAAACTTCACACAATTGATTTGGATAATTGATTGATGGTATCTCATGTACCATGTTCTTTTCTCCCATTGATTTGAGAGCTTCAAATTTTAAGTGCCCAAATCGCATGTGCCAACACCATGATTCATCTCTCACATTAGCCTTCAAACACTTTGCATCAATTGTTTTAAGATTCAGAGAAAATAATCTATTCTTTGCCATATGCACTTTAGCCATTAGAATTCCATTTGAATCTCTAAGACAAAGATGCATATTTTTCATGTGGATGTCATATTCATTTTCAAGAAGTTGGCCCAAACTCAAAGTATTACTTTTTAATTTTGGGACATAATAAACATCTTGAATATACTTGTGGTCACCATTTTTATAAGAGATCAGAATCGTACCTATCCCTTCGATTTGAATCTTTGAGATATCTCCAAATACCACATTACCTCTCACCGTTTTATTAATCTCCACAAACTTTTCTTTTCATCCACACATATGATTGCTTGCTCCATTGTCCAAATACCACGAGCTGCAATCAGCCATGTCTTCTTCCTTGAGTGCCAGCAATAACATTGACTCATCTTCTTCTTTCTTGTCGTCAACAAGGTTAGCTTTTTCTTCAATACTGCTATGACATTCCCAAGAGTAATGGCCAAATTTATGACAATTATAACACTCAATTTTTGATTTGTCATACATTTGTCCATTATTTTCTTGGTAGTAGCCACGTCTTCTTCCTCCTCTTCGTCCACGACCACGACCTCTGAATGTTTGGTGGATTTTAACTTCATTGTTGAAGTTGTTACTATTAGTTCTTCCTTTTCCATGACCTCCACGGCCTCGTCCTCGCTCATTCCCTCGATATCTTTTTTCATCTCCATAATCCTTAAATGATGCCTGAGTTTTAAGAAGTTGCTCCAATGGCACTTCTTGTCTCCTCTTGATCTTTTCTTCATGGGCCTGTAAAGAACTCTCCAATTGCTCCACCATCATTGAGTCTAAATCTTTAGACTCGTCAATAGCACACACCACAAAATCAAATTTAGGTGTTAAAGTGCGAAAGATCTTTTCTACCACATGGACATCTTCTATGTCCTCTTGGTATCTTCTTAATTAATTTACAACAACCTTCACTTTTGAACAATAATCCGAAATACATTCGGATTCCTTCATTTTTAAAATTTCAAAATCAGCCCTTAGAGTTTGAAGTTTTACCTTCCTCATCTTGTCAACTCCTTGCAGAGAATTTTGTAAAATCTCTCAAGCTTCCTTTGAGGTGGTAGCATCTGCAACCTTCTCAAACATGACATCATCCAAATATTGGTGGATGAGCGTGAAGGCTTGTTGATCCTTCTTCCTCGTCTCTGCCAAGACATCTTTTTCATTTTGAGACAGAGCTTCCTCATTATCGGGTTTTGCATACCATCTATCTACGATTTCCCACACATCCTGAGAGCCAAGAATGGCTTTCATACGTAGACAACATTTCTTATAATTATCTTTTGTGAGACGGGGATACTGAAAAGACAACGGACTATTATTCGTCATGGCTCTAATACCACGTTGTTGGGATAAAAAATAATATCCCGCCCAGGAATAATATCCACGATAAATAACAATAACACAAGAGAGTAACAAAAACATCAAATCTTTTAGTGGGGTAAAATACAATACCCGAGCGGAGTAATATTACCACTATAATATTACAACTCAGTAGTGCCAAGAGACTACTACAACTTTAAAAGAAATAACACTCTTTATTTTAAACACCTCACTACATATTACTCTCACTCTCTACTTATCTCACAGACTACTATCTGCAGATTACTCTCATTGCTTTATACTTTTCTCGTTTTTGGTGTTCTTGAAATGAATAGTTTAAGCCTCCTTTTATAGTAGCGAGAGACCGTTCCTCTAACCAATCAAAAGGCTGTATTTACAATTTCCATATTGCAAATTGCCATAACTTGTTCCACCGTTCAAAATCAAACTTCAAATTGGTTTTGCTATTTGGTTTTGCTGTTATTGCAACTTGTTACATTTGCAACTTGATATCATTTTTTTCTCTTTTTTTTTAATTCCTTTTTATTTAGACTGGTCCCACAATATTCCCACAAGAGGAATTGATGGTTCCCACTGTTCATGATTAATAGGAAAAGATTATCTGAACTTCCCTGCAATTAGAGTTTTCCCTCTATGTTTTCAGATTAAGAAACTTCCTCGGCCTTATTTTTTAGCAAAAAATTCATCGGCCATTTGGGTGAGTTTATTGTTTTCATTCCAATCTAAGGAGAACAAATTTTTAATCAAAAATAAAAGAGGACCAAAAGAATACAGCTTGGATTACCTCATCGGAGAATCTGGCATATGGACCAACTCAGTTTCGTTATATTTCTGGTTAGATTCCGTTACCAACAAGCATATTGAATAGTATATAAGCTTAATTTAGAAACCGAACTTTGTTTTCTCTCGGTACGGCGACTATAAATAAATAGACATGTGGATAATGAAAGTGTTTTGAAATTGCATCACTAGCATAATATTACTGTTTTAAGCTGGCTTTGCTCCATAATAATGACACCAACCCCACGTTCCTTAATAGAAATAATAATGTCAAAGCAAGTCAAGATACTATCAATTATTCTAGAGTTGTTAAACTCAAAACAATAGGTTACAACAAACATTAAAATGCTTATGTTTAATCAGCTCCATTTTATAAGTGTTCTTTAAACTGTGTAAGATGCGTTAATATTAATTCACTATATATTAGGTAGTCCAATACTCAACGTAGGTGCCTCTTTTCCTGATCAAAGAAAGCTATAATAATTGCAATAAAAATGCCTTCTCGTAAGCGCATTGCAATGGCTTATACTTATTGTTCTCCACCTCCACCAACTCTGCCCTCTAATGATCCGACACCACCACCACCGGCGGTTCCGACGACTCCACCGCCAAATTTAACACCTCCTGGTGGTAGTAAGGATACTCCACCTACAAACCCTCCTCCAACATTTCCACCACCAACATCTCCTCCACCACAAACTCGGACTTCACCACCAAATAATTCCCATAGTCCTCTTTCACCTCCACAATTAATTACTCCGAGTTCACCACCAAACAATTCCAAGAGTCCTATTTCACCACCACAAACTCCGACTTCACCACCAAACAATTCCAAGAATCCTCCTCTTTCACCACCACAGACTCCGAGTTCACCATCACCAAACAATTCCAAGATTCCACTTTCACCAACTTATTCACCACCAAATGCGTCGCAATCTCCAGCTTCTTCACCAAGAACACCATCTTCAATGGCCCCACAAAACTCACATTCATCACCAATGTTAGCACCTTCATCACTACCTTCAGAAGGTGGTAAAGTTCCTTCACTCTCTCCACCTCCAGCATTAACACCACTTCCCACGCCGACTATTCCTTCGACTACTTTTCCTCCACCACCATCAAGTAATAGTATTAATGTTGCTCCTCCTCCCCCAGGGGGAGGTGGAAAACACACAACAACAATCTTAGCCGTAGGCGTATCAATTGGCGGTCTCTTCTTCCTAGCCTTTGTTGTTGCTCTCTTTTGCTTATATAAGAAGAAAAAGAAGCGCGTCTGGTTCCAGCTACAAATGCTTGATAACTTCTTGTCTTCTGCCTTACGATGTAAATTAAATCTTTTAATTGTCAATATTTGTGTATTGTATGATTTTTCATCCATCTTGTTATTATGCGGTTAATTTCCTGTTCTATGCAGGAAATGTAAACTTGGTAATTTATGTTCCATTTTTTCTAGCTCATGCTTCCTTCTTTTTTCTTTACTATTTCTTTCTACTCCAATCAATGCCATGATCTTTCTTTATCTTGAATTCTTTCGGTCCACCTCTTTGGAAACGGTCTATCTATCTTTATAGGGTAAGGACAAGGTCTACGTGCGTATACACTATCCTTCATAGGCCCCACTTATGAAATTAAACTGAGTTTGTTGTTATTTCAGTCCACCTCCACTCATTAATGTCAAGAATCATTTTATTTTATTTTTGAATTCTTTCAGTCCACCTCTTCGGAAACATCTTCTCTATCTTTTTAGAATGTGGGTAAGGTGTGCGTACACACTACCTCCCCAAACCCTACTTATAGAATTAAACTAGGTTTGTTATTGTTGGTGGTGTTGTTTCAGTCCACCTCTCACTCATTAATGTCAAGAATCATTTCTTACGGAAGCACTACAGGATCTTTTCACAAACTACTGCTTTTGAGAGCCAACATCCATTCTAAAAGTACATGGATATGTGAGTACATGAAGAATTTTTGTTTTCTTGAATAGGCGAAAGCAACCGTCTGAAATAGAGTATTAAATATTTTTGGGATTTTACCTTTCTATACATTATTTTGAAACTTTATTACCTTCCATATTCAAGTTTCAGTTTAATTACATAGGCATATATAATTTACCAATTATATACCCTTTAGGAATTAAATAAGTATCCCTTTATATTATGAATTGAATAAGTAATCAATTATTTCTCATCTTTATTCTCTCTCCCTCCTGCGCGCTCTCTCTCTCTCCCCGTCTCTCTCTCTCTCTCTCTCTCTCTCTCCACATCTCTCTCTGTCTCTCAATCTCTCATTCTTTGTTCTTTCCCCATTTTTTCTTCCTCTAATGTCCTCTATTTTTATCCTTCATGTTGTAGATATTTTTAATGGAATTCATCAATGGATTTCAATCGTTTTACTATAGAGTTTTAACTTAGCAATTTCCTTCCATGTTGCACAATTGGTGTTTAAATTGAAATTGCCAATCAATAAATTTTGAAGATGTCTGACTATCCATCATTAACAGCTATTAAAAAGCTTTGAAGTTTTGAATTCGAATTTGAGTTTTCAAAAATCACTATTTGTTTGGATTGGGTATTGTTGCATACAATTGAGAATGTTGTTTGGAGTTTATATCTCAATTTTGAGGGTGTCTGGTGAAGGTTAGCCTTGATTTTGGCAGAAGAAGAAGAAGAAGAAGAAGAAGAAGAAGAAGAAGAAGAAGAAGACGAAGACGACATGACATACAATATACTTACGAAATTATAGTAAAGTTGTAGTATAATTGTATATAAATTGTATTATGTTGTAGTTATATTTTTTTTATTTGAATGTTGTATGAAAGTTGAACAATAGTTGTGTAATATATGAATCGTTGTATAAAATTTGCATTTAAGTTATCAATACAATCTTTTTACATAAAGTTATTGATATGTATCAAAATTGTATTAAGAGAGTAAGTTTTGATTGGAATTTTAGAGATGAAGAAGCACACACCACAGACAAAATATATACAAATCAGATACAAAATATATACAAAGACATATTGTATAAAGTTTATATAAAAATTGTATTTAAGTTGATGATATTGTAGTTGTATACAACTGAATAGAAATAATGTATGAAAGTTGTAGATAAATTACAAATAAGTTGTATAATATAATTAGTTGAATGAAATTTATTTTTTATCATTTCATGTAGTATAAATATTACTACTTCCTATTATCTATTATGATTTTCTTTTTCTATTTTAAAAACCTGCAGGACAATAGAACTTGGATATTAAACTGGACTCTATTCCTCTAGTATTAATCAATTTCGTCTCAAGGCAGCTCATAAGCGGCGGTTTCAAGCTTTATAAAAAAGTTAATGCCAACTCAGAGATCATTCTATTTTATATTTTAATATTTGTACTTTAAAAAGTGATCTAATAAAAATAATACTTGAATGCTCCAGCAAGTAATTTACAACCATTGTTGCAGGAAGTAGCTTCATTGCTAAAGGTGATAAAGACTTCAGCAAGGCAATTAAGGATCCAATGTATGCTCGAATACGTAAAGCTCTTTACTCAGATAACCTACCTAATATGTTGAAGCTTCAGAACTGCTAGACCTGAAAAAAGATGCAGTTTCTCTTAATGAAAATCGCCCCGAGGCAAAGGTTCATAGAGACAATTACATCTTTAGCTTACCGGATCAGGAGGATTTGAAGGCCAGACATAAAAATATGTCGATTATAATACAGTTTTTTAAGGATAAAAAAAAGACCGAAACAATGAGCAAACAGAAATCCCAAAATATAAGTTCGATCTGGACAGAAGAGAGGGAGAGGAGCGAAAAAAGGAAAAGGGTATAACTAAAACTCTTGATTGAAGGCACTAATAATGGATTGAGAGCCTTTTAAGGTGGATTGTATATATTTTGTAGCTAAAATATGTTTAGGTCGGGTGAATACAAAAACTTGGACATTTTTCGTAATAAGGTTTCAAATAGCGTATATGAATGAAAAATCCAATATTTTTTGGGTTCTCAATCTTTGGGCCACTTTAACCAAATTGCTGGGAAAGTATCCTATCTAGTAGTGGGATCTTTATACAAATAGCTATCCAGATTCACTTTTTATTTTTTCTAGCCGGTATACATNATATATAAATTCACCGGCTATTTTTAGTTTAAACACTTGAATGACCGGATATTTAGGTTAATTCTTCCCCAAGGGTGAAGCCAGTATATATAAAAGATGAGAAATTTTCATAAAACACTATAGTTTAGAGCCTAATAATTATTGTTTGTCTAATTACTATCCGTAGCTATTGTTTATTTGTTACTAGCTTGTATCACTTTTATTCAAACACAAAACGAATAAAGCTTGTGTCAACTGTATTAGTTCGTGCAACGAATACAACCTGTATCAACTGTATTCATTCGCGTAACGAACATGTATCGACTACTGTATTAGTTCGTGCAACGAATACAATCTGTATCAACTGTATTCATTCACGTAACGAACATGTATCGACTGTATTAGTTCGCGCAATGAATACAGATAAAGCGAAATAGAGAAATACAGGAAAAAAATGCTCTTGTTGAGAGCCAACCTCAAGACCTCCGCTAACTAAGCATGCCCTCTAATCAACTGAGCTACGAGAACTCGTTGCTCTCTTGTTTCAGTTCTCTTGTTTTATCAATTTGCTATAAAATTTAAATATAGCTACGAATGATTAATTTGCTGAAGATATAGCATTGAATGGTAAATACTGTATAAATAGTTGATATGCCGTGTAATTTTCCATAAAAGATAAAAGAATATTCTAGGCCCATTATTCAAAAAATGGACCAACACATAGTTCCGTACACATAGGAGTAGTCCTATTCGTCTTGTTTGTACATGAATTTCCAATCTCGAAGTAAATGACCAGAAGTGTAGTAAAATTGCTTTTAGAACTCAAGATGCTTACTAAACTCACAGGATAACGCTTTGATATTTTATTATCCAGGCCTATTTACTAAAGAATAATAACAATAACAAAAAACTAGAGGCTATTTCTTAGTTCATTGCTGAGAAAAGACTGTGGAGTGTATATTAGGGGTGAACATCGATCGGTTCGGTCCGGTTGTGAATATTATCGGTTCGACATATTGGTTATCGGTTTATAAATATGCTAAACCGATAATCGAATCGATAAGATATCGGTTATCGGGTATCAGTTTGTAGGTTATCAATCCTTATCTGTTCGGTTATCGGTTTACCCGATAAGAATAAAAAATATCCAAAAATCATGTTTTTATTATAGAAATCGTGATCATACTTCTAAGAGAAAGGAACTGACTTTTAGCTCATAAGAAAAGATGGATTAAATTTCAACTTTAAAAAGGAAAAGTTTCTTTATTTACATTTGAAAATCCCAATATAATCTCAATTTTTAAAGTTATAAGTTAGTAGGGGGAAGGAATAAAATATTTAATAATCTATCTTACTAACTATCTCACTGGGGGCAGGCATAATGAACTGAAAAATAATAAAATCATAATCTTGTAAATACTAAAGAGTAGTGCAATAAAAGAAACAAATAGAAAAACTAAAAATCTAAATAATTAATTCTTTAAAGTATAAAACTAAGAATCTTAACTGAAGAATTAAGATGAGAAATTTAGAAAAGTTTAAAACTTATTCTAAGGATTAAGGTTTCAAGATGAAAAGTAACTGCTGAGAGAATTGAGAAAATGAAACCATAAGGTGGCTTTATATACTTAGTGAGTAAAACAATAATTTTGTTAAAACTTATTGGGCTATCGGTTAAACCGTTAATAAAATTGGACAAACCGAGACCCGAACCATTAACCCAATAGTCAAATAACATTAAACCGTTATCGAATCATTTACCCAATAACCCGATATCGATAACCCAATAGCATTTTATCGGTTCGGACTATCGGTTATACTCGATATATGCCCAGCCCTAGTGTATATATGAACTAGGGGTGGGCAATTTGAGCCCAAATTCATTTGACCGGCCCAAGCCCAACCCTACCAAAGTTGTGCTGGTCATTAATACGCCCATTTATTGAAAGTGCATCTTGATCGAACCCATTCAGCTCATCTAAAGTTGGGTGATTTTTAGCCCAAATTGATCCAGGAGTAACTTTGCTAAAATATTTTTAAAATAATTTTCTTGTTGCTTGATATGTTATATATGTCCATAACAAAAGAAAAAAGTTTTATTTGATAATTAAGCAATTTATAATAAAACAATACACATAATTAAAATTTGGTAAAAATTAAGCGAGTTGGACTTTGATCCAAATTTATAACTTTTACCAAATTTTAGCCCAACTTGACCCAACATGTCTCCGTTACTTTTGAGCGGATCAGTAACTTGAACTAGTCATTGATCTGCCTGTTTATTAATTCAACTCTTTTTAACTCGTCCGAAATTAGCCAAACTCACTCGTTTGACATCCCTAACATGAACTATGAAGTCTTTCTCTGCAAAAGAACGAGTGTCGATGAAGTTTTTGTCTTTCTCAAAGTTATTTTAGAAGTGGGATGGCCACAGTTGTGATTAGATTACAGTAGTACGGTTACATTTCCAGTGCATTTTACCGAATTGTCATATTGTAAGCAGTAAGAAAATAATATTTTGTACTAATTTATTTACATGTGAAAAGTGTGGTAGAGTGAGAAGTAAAAAGAAAAAACGGTCACGTAATGCTTCATTATTCTTCTCCCACTAAGGTTGAGTATAACCCTTTCATGCTTGTCTTTCTTCGACAAAGACCCCAGGTGGTAGGAACTAGGAAGTTGCGCTATGTAGGGGTCTTCAACAATTTTAATTAAGAGAAATAACAAAATATCTTGTTGTTGATAATATTTTTTTTTCATGGTTTTTCTATTACTGTATTTCTTGTAAACAGTAAATATTACTATAACTGTGTTTTGCTTGAGTCAAAAATCTATCGAAAACAGACTCTTTATTTTTACAAGGTAAAGTAAGATTACATATATATTATCCTCCTCAGACCTCACTTGTGAAATTACGTTGGATTTGTTATTGTTGTTCTTGTGAAGGTATTCAGCGTATTAAGTGAGAAATCGAGGTTCTTT